AAGCCCTTGCTCTAAAGTCAGGACCTCAACGTTGGGCTGAAATTCCATAAAATACAGATGAGACCAAGTTGGAGTTATAAGAAAAATGAAGGTGTCAAAATGGTTTCCAAAAAGAAAGTTGTGCTAATTATCAAGCATGGTGGTGGCAGCATTATGCTGCAGAGTTTTTATTGTGTTTTACCACTTGTTTTTCTTTTTTTTTTTGTTTATCATCACTTAGTTTCTTTAAGATCTAACGCAGATAACCTGATTAAATAGTGCAAGTGATGTGGAATTTAAGATATGTTGGCAGGTAAATCTGACTATCAATGTTTTCATTGTTAAAGTGACATTTGAAGGAAATTGGTAATGGAAAAAAAGACTACATAGGATTGATATGGCACATTTCATTAGTAAGACAATTGAAAGGGCTGTATGTGCAAAAACTTAATACGGAAAACACACAGGGAAAAGTATCTTGCTGTGGCAAAGAGGCAATTATATAATTAAGGATTGTGAATAGATATGTAAAAAAAAAAAAAAATGAAGAAAGTAAAATTGTAAATTTTGATTGCACAGCCGAAAGCAACGCTAAACAAATAAGTTTTACATCTTGATTTAAAGTGAGGGTTTCAGCCCCTTTACAGTTTTCTGGGAGATTATTACAGATTATTGGAGCTGAAGACAAGTCAAGTACAAGTATTTCTGTTCTTAGCCTTTCAGTGATTTATAGACAAGTATTTTAAAGTCTATTCTCTGATATATGGGGAGCGAGATGAAGGAATCTAGAACTGAGGGTATGTGCTTCACTTTCTTAGTTTTAGTGAGGACGCAGGCAGCAGCTTTCTGGATCAGCTGCAGCAGTCTGATCACCTTTATAGGCAGACCTGTGAAAACAATGCTGCAATAATCACATTGTTTTATCTTGGAAATATTTAAGTGAAAGAAGGCTGACTTTATTCCTCTCCGTATGTGACTGAAGGTCTGAGTCCATCACTACACCCAGATTTGGAGCCTGATGGTTGGTGCTAACTTTTAAACACTGTATAATAAAGTTCTGGCCTAAAACATGTTAACAAAGTTAAGATAATGAGTGAAAACCGGAGGAAATAGAAGATCTGGCTCTGTTAGAGAAGGAAATTTGATTACTGCCAGGAATCGCATCCCTTTATCTAATGTGCCCAGTAACTGCGGTATGAATGCTGTATATGATCAAATGAAATTTATGGCTGATGCCATCTCTGATAGAGGAAACCATTGATCAGAGCAGGAGTGTGTACCTTTTGCTGCAAATACAGTTGAGCAGAAAAGAGGAGCAATTTTCAATTCTTGCTACAAATTCCCATTTTAGTTTAGGTCTGGACTTTGACTAGACAATTTTACTCCTCAGCAATTCCATTGTAGCTTTGGCTAAATGGCGTAACGGCACAACAATAGGCCCGTAAGCAATATAAAAGGTGTCCCTTTTGACTTAATTATTCAATATTTATTGTTTGTTTGATTGGAACTATTAAAATGAGCATAGAGCCTCAGTTAACCAACCTAATGCCTCCATTACAGTGTATATAGCCATTGCTAATTCACAACATGCAACCCTAAAAGGACCTTTAACAGTTCCCCCAAAAAATCTAATTATTTTAATATCAAATACAATGAATGCCCAGGGAGTAATGTAGATGCACATATTTTTTAAAGTTTTCATATACTTACTCATAACCTAAAGAAAAGTAAAACCTAACAGTTGACCCAATAAAAAAGTCCAGAATGTGATTTAGAACAATCCGCTCAAGAATAACTTAAAATATTTATTCTCCTTTAAAAATGTTTAGTTCTTCATCCTCAATTAAGTATGAACTTCTGTTCTTCAGAATGTCTAATGGTTGCATTTGCTCTTAAGAAAATTAAAGTAAGCTGCCTTAATAAGAATTAAAGTTACAGTCAGTTGCGCTCAGTCACTTTTTTCAAGTCTGTGTTTGAAAATGTTTAAACTTTTTTCCCCCTAAATGCATGATACTACCACCACCGTGTGTCACCATATTGTCATGGTTTTGGTTCTGTTCAAGTTTTATCTCTGAGTTTTCATCGGTCTTACTTCCATTCTTGTGTTTTAGTTATTTTTTTTTATTGTATTGGAGTCCTTAGATATTTCTTGTTTGCCCTCTTGTGTCAGTCTCCTTTTCCCTAGCATCCTTCTTGCCTCTGTTCACACCTGCTCCCAATCTAATAATTAGCCTGGTGTTTGTTTCCCTCTGCCATATATTATCCTCCTGTTCAGTCACTCTTTGCTAGTTTGTCATCATTTCTTTGGCCCCTTGTAAGTATTCCGGGTTTTCAGTATTTTTTGGATTTTGTGGATTTATGTTTTTGGATTTTTGCTTCTGTTACTGAAAACCAGGAATACTCACAAGGGGGCAAAGAAATGATGACAAACCAACAAAGAGTGACTGAGAAATAAGACAAATGAAAACTCAGAGATAAAACTTTAATAGAACCAAAACCATGACACATAGAAATTCAATTCAATTTATTTCTATAACTCCAATTCACAACACATATCATCTCAAGGCACTTTACAGTTCATTCGGATCATACAGTCAATTTGATTCAAAGTTTTCTATCTAA